GTTCAATAATGTACAATGGCTGGTAGCCATATCCATGACCACGATCCACCAATCCAGCTCACTCCTATGGTCCGGCTCTTTAACCTGAAAAATATAGAAATCGTGGGGCGTGAGCACTAAAAGACACTGTGCTCTGCAGAAACTCATACCAAAGTAAATAGTGAAAATAATTGCAATATCATGATCCTGGTATATACATAAACATAACATAGCATGATACCGGTAAACCATTGCCATCACATGACCATTGCCTCATAACCGTTACCTCATCTGTCAGCATGAAAATGTCGGACACCATGTGCATACTATAGTGGGCAGACTAGGCCACTAAAACCCATAATGGACCGGCGACCATTCTAAGCGGATACATAACATAGCATGATACATACCTCAAACATGGTAGAGTAATTATAATCAATGTAATACCCAGTCTGAGTTCCCACATGAACTGCTAGTCTGTAACTGTAAGTGTTGCTGCTGATCAATCTGTAAAAATATATATAAATAAACAAATACTAAGTACTATGCTCAGACTGACTGAAAATAGCTGTTAAGATGCTAGACTCGATCTAAACATTTAACTGAAATAATCTCGGGGTCTAACCTGACTGACAAGAAAAACCGGACTAAACTGGTACTGGTATACTGAACTGACTGGACTGAAAAACTAACTGAAATACAGTACTGAACTCGGACCAGGTCACTGAGTCCTAAACTGCTCAAGTAACCGGTCTGAATTGGCGCCGGCTCGCTGGCCGAGCAGTCGGCTACTGACTAGACTACCGGCACGGTCGTACGGACGCACCAGACGCGGCCTGGGCGCTGCTGGCGCCGGTGATGAGTGATCGGAATGTTGTCGCGGTTGTTGTCTATTCGGTTATGAGTAATCGCGCACTCAGGGCCTTCGACTACACACGATAGATGTGACTAACAGACGCACTCAGGGCCTTCTCTTAGCCACCGTGACTTCAAGACGCGCTAATGGCCTTCTCTCCGACACTTATATGTAAACACGCACTAACGACCTTACTTAACACACGTTAGAACACCAAGTTCCCGTTTTCTATTCACTCATCAATTTTCTGAACATTCAATTACGAAGAGGCACATGGGTATTTATAATGCATAAAATAAATCTAAGCCTAAGCTAATTAGATCTCCTAATTCTAGAATGACAAGCAACATGGTAATAAAATCCTAATATTACTATAACTACTAATTGCTTGACTTGCACTCCAAACTACTTGATGTCCAAGTCTAGCGCATAAAATCCCTAGCCGCCTTAAATTCCTTCGGCCCTACCACGCGTCGCGCGCTGCCTGCCTGCGCGCGCCGCCCCTCGCCTCTCCTACTCCTCGTGTCGCGCGGACTCGCGCACCCTTCCTGTGTGATGAAGATCGTGTATCCGCCTCAACTCGAATTGCTTGAAACCCGTGCCGACGCCTTGGTCCCGAAGCGATAGGTTGCTAATACGCGCGTCAACGCCTTCGTACTTCGCGATACTTGTGAAGAAACCCGGATGTTGGTCCTATTTCTAACACAATTTTGTATGTAGACTCACACACAAGAGTTGGTGAACAAACGTTCGATTTTCTATTAATTTCTTCGATATAAAATAACAAGAGTACATGGGTATTTATAAGAAAAACTAGATCTAGTCCTATGAGCACTATAATTCTAACTAGGAAATAATATCTAGTCCTAAGGTAACTAAATATTTTGCATATCAAGACTTAACAAATAAATAAAACTCCTAACATCTAAACCTATAACTCACGCTAACTAAATATATATTTACCTAATCTAATAAACTAACCTAAACAACTAACGGCTAACTATTTAATAATTTATAAACTAATAA